ACAAAGACACATAGGTTTCCTGCGTGGAGGCAAATCCTACTTTGATTGAGCGTAAGTATCTCTGTATTTTATTTTATTTGTTTTTAGGCCCCTTCTATTAGTTAACTCTTTCAGCTGAGGGCGACGGCAGAGTACTTCCTGCCCTATTCGTGTTTCCCCTACGGATGGAGTCATAGCAGCGGTCTAAGGACGTCGGCCCAGCATAAATGTGAGGCGCGGAGCGCGTGGAATTTTTAGTGTTGTGCGCGTGCGAAGTGCGCCCCGCCAATTGTTCTATGTGTCGCCATGTGTCTAGCCAAGAAAGGCTCTTGAGGCCTGTACCAGGCGGTTCTTAGACAGTTTGCTGCCCTAGGTGAGATTTAGGCGACTTGTATGGTAAAGAATAAATGAAAATCCTACAAAAGCCAATCCACTTGCAAATACAGCAACTTATTGACATAAGGTAATAGACGTCAAAATGGCTTCCAATGGTATTTCAGTATTGTGACATGTTGAATGGGGGTGGAACTCACATCCTCTAGGGGATCCAGTAAAAAGCTGTCGAATCTGATGGCCAGCGTGTGAAGCACGGACGATTGAGCTAGAGACCTGATGTAAGGGGTACAACTCTAAAAACGCCCATTATGAAAAGATCAGCTTTACATTTACATAATCAAATCGGTTGGTGCTAACCAATGACCTACCATGCCATAACAAATAAAGTACTTATTTTATTTTTGTTGTTCATTCAAATCTTATTTTACCCTAGTTTACACTTATTTATTTATGCTATTTTGATATCTCTCCCAACTTTTAACAGAGTATTTTGGTTAATCATTGGAATGATTTTCAAACCTGTTTTTCATTTACCTAATAATTTAAAGGGTCCTTGGAAATTGTGTTTCATCTTTGTGCTCAAAACGTTTTGAGACCCACTGAGATAACTTAGACTAAAAATTAACTATCTAAATACTCAGAAGGTCCTTAACCTCACTGAGCCTCTCGTCGACAGAGAGAGCTCTCCTCCAACCCCTGGTGTGAAACATCTACATTCTTATTCCGTGTTCGCGCAGCATCACCAGATTCTATAAACAACACGCGCCGGTACCGGTGCGGCCCTCTCCCTTGCTCGCTCCTCGCTACCACGCTCGCACTTTGGCTGTGAGCTGCGGGCGCCTGATAAGCCAACATCCCCCACTTTCATCACTTACAGCGCCCACCGTACAGGGCAAATTAAACGTGTAACCGGGGTGAAAAGGGTGTTACATTTACTTAATTATGAATGTTGTTACATCAAGGCCGAACATTTGGATGAGCGCAAATGGTCAAAAATGTTTTTTCCCTCCCAGAGCTACCAGCGCAGCGCCCCCCAGATCTGGCGCCCTAGGCGACCGCCTGTGTCGCCTATGCCAGTCACACAAATACTACAAATCTACATAACAAACAATCAAAAATGAAAAAGGGTCGCCACTTATTATTATTTTAAGAAAAAAAAAAAAAGTAAAAACATTTTTATTTTATTTTTTTGGGTACCTCACCTGGCTGGCGCCCCCTAGCAGAGGCGCTCATATTTCAGCAGCGGCGCTGTGCCGCCACTATTTGTATATAGGGGAAACACTCCTATTGTAATGCTTGAGACAAGTGACCCACTGAGAACTGTGTAACAGGTTCTGTTGAGCAGATCTGAGATTTAAAATCTCTCAAAAGCCCAGTTTCAGCTACAATAACTACAGAACAATTATACAGAGTAGAATAAATGAAACAGAGAAGTCTATTTAAACAAGAATATAACTTACAGTGATTGTTGAGTCAATAGGTAGTGTCCTCACCCGGTCTAGATGAACACCTTTTTCATTGGATAAATTCTTTACATTTATTTATTAAATTGATTATGACATAATTAAGTAATGACATGATATATCCTTTAATTGTAATACCGTTAACTGAAAATAACGTTAACCAGTTCACTGACTACAACGTAGTAGCTATATTAGGCAAACTTTAGCAGGGCTTTGGTATAACTCACAGTATGAAATCTTACCTTTTTCATCAAATAGTTTTGGTGTCCGTTCTTTCTTCGTATAGACTAACCTATGTAGTCCCAGTACGAGCTAATCGATGTCCACGAATATGAGCAGCAAGCTACTTAGCAGGAAGATAAACTGACGTCTCATCTACACCTCACAGCTGACACAACACTCACCGGTCACCGTCAGCTGTTTACGCATGCGCGTACCAACAAAACTGGAACTTCCGTACAGATATTTCAGAATAAAAGCGGCACTAATAAACAAGAGTGCAGCACTGAAACAGGCGTGGAGGGAGAGACGAAGAGAAACACATGTATATATACATATTTATGAGACCTCTTTTTGAATGCTGTCAAGATGGTGTGATGTGAAAACTGGGACTAAAAAGGACTCTTGGGAGAGAGAGACAGAGAGAGAATAATCGCTTTGGCAATAATGTTCACCTGACATTCATGCCAATAAAGCATATTGAATTGTAATTGAATTGAAATTGAGAGAGAGAGAACAGTTAGTTTATCACCCAGTTAGTCCTTGCATCCACTAGATGCTGCTAATGTGCACCTCTTTAGGTAACAAACAACAATGCTGAAATATAATCTTGTGAAAAAATAAATATAGAACCTCCTGCTTTTGCAATTTATACGGTATAGCCAATAATAACGCTTCACCTTTAGCACTGTGAGTGATAACCGAACAATGTGATAACCAGAGAATTTCCACAGAGCAATGTCCAAGACAAAATATTGCACATCCGCACTAGTCAAAGTTCACTTTATGCAATAAACCGTCTATGGAGAGAATCACTTCTACATAGCGTTATGTGCAAGAAATTTCTTCGTGGTCAAAGCATAAGTTCAGTGTGTCTGGGTTTTCTCTTAGTGTAGTTCGAAAGAAAAAGTGTCCACAAAATGTCTTTAAAAGTCTGTCTGGAAGAGTGGGAACGCCTGGAAGAAGACCATAAGCAACTTCAGGTAAGAAAATTACAAATATAAATTTAAAGTATCAGATTATTCACACAGAGCCGCCGTTTAAATCATGATTTACATATGTTTGCCTCCTGTTGTGTTACTCAAACCACATGAGTAATGTTTCTAAAATCCCGTTAACAAAGATAAATGCCTTGTGATGTAAATATGAGTTGTTATTTATGTCCCCATGTTCTTCTTTTCCAGGAGACACACAGAATGTACCTACAAAAACTGGATGAAGTTTCCAAACTACAAAAAAACTGCTCGTCCTCCATTTCCAGTCAGCGCAGAAGGCTGAAGGAGGTATCCTCCCTGGTGAAAAGGTAAGTCTACACGCACACAAGCACATCTGTATGGTCACAGAATTATGGTGACGTATGCAGATAAGTACAACCGCTCGAACACACACACATACACAAATGTGTTGTGTCAATGTAACAGACCTGGCAATCATATATCACTTATATCATCCATCAGATGCAGCAAAGGACCATCAGAAGAAGATGCAGAGCACTTGAACGAAATAAACGAGAAGATAAAGACGCGACCAAATGCTTTCTCTGAAATGGAAGCATTCCTTCCCAATAAAAACGGGTGGATTTCTTTTTTAAAACACAAGTTGAACTCATTGCTATGATTGATATTCATAAAAACATATCAATTGCATTTATTACCTTAATGTACATTTACACTAAAAAAATAATATGATACATTTTCATATTTCAGATTGTACCTCAGTCTGGTTCTTGGAAATGTGAATGTCACTCTTCTCAGCAAGCAGTCAAAGTAAGAAACACATTTCTAAGCCGAAAAATTCCTTATTTCCCAAAATCCACGACACATTTCATTAGTTATATTATATGTTGAGGTCTGAATTTGTCCTATCTTCGTCAGATTTGCCTACAAAGATGAATACGAGACGTTCAAGCTGTACCTCACAGTTATCCTGCTGCTGTTCTCCTTTGTATGCTATTTCTTTGTGAGCTACAGGTAAATATTAGCATGTTCTGCTACCTTGTCAGTAACCATGAGTTTATTATACGGACAATGCATGTACCTCATATCTAAATCAATCTGTTGTCTGTTGTCCCCGACTTTAGATTCCTTGATGCAATCCTCAATTTCGTGCTGGTTTGGTACTATTGTACATTAACCATCAGGGAAAGTATCCTCATCACCAACGGCTCCAGGTGAGTCCTAGCACCCCTACAACCATCTTCAAAAAATAATGACTAATTTTTTACGAATAAAACATTGACTGCTCTCTGACCTTTTAACTTTAATTATAGCAACTCATCATATTTGTAGTGATTAAGTAAATTACTCAAGTAAAACAGAAAAATGTAATCAACAAAATATATAATACAATGTATCTTGCATCACAGAATTAAAGGCTGGTGGGTTTTTCACCACTACATCTCAGCTTTTTTTTCGGGTGTACTGCTAACATGGTGAGTATTTCTTACCTTTCTTATTCAATGTTGGACATCCTTTTGTTGTGTGTATTGCAAAAACCTTTATACTCGGTTTCCATTGCATTAATTTGCACGTTGTCTAAATGCTTTAGATGTTTTATGTATAGCCGTATTGCCTGGTTGTTGAAATGTGTTATAAATAAACTTACCATGCCTTTCGTAGGTACATTTAAAAAAAAATAAAAACAGCCTATTTACCACATTGTGAAAATGCCCCCCACGCTTTTTACATTGTATTGCTGTTATTTTTTTCTACGTAATTACTTGTTTTTCTATTTTTCACCAAGGCCAGAAGGGGACTTGTACAAGACATTCAGGAACCAGTTCCTTGCCTACTCCTTGTATCAAAGTAAGGTCTACCTACTTGAAATACATTTATAATAAAAAAATAAAAAAATAAAAGACTGACTCATTTCATTTGTAACTTACAGGTTTTGTCCAGTGTCTACAGTGCTACTATCAGAGCGGATGTCTTTATAGGCTAAGAGCTCTGGGAGAAAGACACAACATGGATCTGACCGTCGGTGAGGGACACTGTAACAGGCCAAGGACACAATACACTCAGCGAAGCATATCATACTTTAATATTGATGTTCCCCAGGCATGTCCGGGGCTGCTTATTGTCACTGCTGTAATAAACAGATGTTGAAATAAAATGCATTAGCAATTTAAACTCTTCTGCTTTCTGCTTTCAGAGGGATTTCAATCTTGGATGTGGAAAGGGCTGACGTTTCTGTTGCCCTTCCTCTTTTTTGGTCATGTGAGTACAGTCTTGGACACTGAGATGATTCACAACTGAGTTTAAGCTTAAAAAATTATGCTTTGTCATGGCTAGATAAAAAAATCTGATGGAAAATGCTGATGTCATTCTAGACTTAGGCACAATTTGGGACAGTGTTTAGGATGATGGTTATCTGAATAACAGCTTAAGCTTTAGCGTGTCTGTGTTTGTACAGCTGCAAATCAATTCATTTACTTTTTACAAGATAAATCCTGAAGTCCTCGTGTTTTGTCTTGTAGTTCTGGCAGCTCTTCAATAGCCTCTCTCTCTTCCGAGTGGCGCGGCTCCCAGACTGTAAAGAATGGCAGGTCAGTACTCACCTATTCTCACTTTATACCTGCTTTTATAAGTGCTTATAAAAGCAGATTTGCAAATGCATTCATCCATCATCTAAACTGCATGAACTGATTTTATGTTATTATCGACATGGCATGTTATAATTTAGTCAAAGATGCCTACTATAAATGAGCTTCTTCTTCATCTGTTCCCCATTCATAAAATAAGAAAAATGATGATGAATTAAATCTTTTGTGCTTACTCATGTATTCATCTCTTAATGCCAGGTCATGGTGTGTGGTCTCTGCTTCCTCATTCTGTTCATGGGAAACTTCTTCACCACTGTTGCTGTGGTCCGTCACAAGGTCAAGAGCAGGAATCAGAAAACTAAGAGTCTGTGATACATGCTGTAATAGGAAAAACATGTCTACAAATGCGGTCTAAATTGCTGATCTCCGAATGTAAAGCTCACATTATCATTATTGCTTTCATTAACATTATCTGCGAATACGTTGTGTCTTATCAATACTTATTAAAGGTAAATTATGCTCCACAATGTCCTTTACTTTGCATAGTAGTCAAATCACTCTCATAGCAAAAGCCAAACCAATAAAGCATTTATTCCACCCTCTGTGAAGCAGTTTTGTATTACTTCTTTGTACTTGTGCAAATGTGTCTGAATATGTTTGATTGCAGCTTTTTGTTCTCTTTCCTGCCTAGATATGGTTCATTTACATTTTAAATTGGGCGTGTTAAAGATGAGTTACCGTAGAGGGTTTTAAAAAAGTACATCTTATTCTATCTCATTAGGTTTCATTTGCCTTTTCTTCTCCCTGTGTTTTACAAAATATGTCTTGAAAGTAATTAAAATAAGCTCCATCTCCGCCTGCTACAACTTAAACAAATATATAATAAAATCACCAATGATAAATATAACACTAACTGACTGGCAGTGGTTTGAAAAATATTTAAATTATTTTGTAAATGTAAGTAGCCCTGCACAGTGTATTGTCTACCAAAGCAAATGTGGAAACCTACAATAAACCTTATTCAGATTCTGATTTTGGGGTTCGTGTTCACAACATTTGCATGCATTTTTAAATGCATGACTTTAATATACAATGTATTGTAGTTTTATTTAAGGAAATAATATGAATAGGCTAGTTAATACTTTGCGCATGTATGCAGGCGGAATACTCACTGGTTGTTGGAGTATTTAACCAGTGTCCTTGGCATTGTTAACAAAAACACCCTTTAAATTGAGGAGGATACTTTTGATACTTTTCCAGTCTGAGGTGCCTTGTTGGATTTTATAACCCTGACCCTTACCCTGCTGCACCTCGACTGTTATTTATTTTAGCAAGTTACATATTCGATGTTAGGTAATGTCGATGTGGACCGACCCAAATTGAAACACGTGTTCGCTGAAATAAAAATAAATAAACAAGCTAATTTAGAACAGATAGTTTATACAGAAACATATATTAAAAATATAAATGAGTGTATCTTTTCGACACATCAAACTATTTCGTAATGGTATGTATATGGATTTTAAAGTGCAAGAGTCCACCCCCGCTGCCAGCGTGGAGTTGGTTTGATCCTACATCGCGTAAAGTTTCCTTCCGTGAGCCTGACACAAAGAGGGGAGCGAAGGTAAGCACATCACCAAATGCACATTTTACACTGTTTTACATCGACCTGTAGTCTGTGGCAGTCTAAGAGAAGTACACGTCAGCGATAATAGATTGGTACTGAAAATAGAAATCGATCATATAACTAATATTTGTCAGTGAAACATTGGCTAAAGTGTACTGCTGACTTCGGTGTGATAGGTAAACTGTGGCTAACTTCTGTGGGGCATGTCGTTTCTTTGGCATGTATAGGTTAACATACGAGGGCTTTACATATCAAACCCAAAGGTTCTGTCCCTAAATGAAGCTGTGTTTCTATTCGAGATCCAGTGAATAGCCGGGGCCCTGAGACCTCTCCTACTGTCTGTCTTCTTGGCTACTTCTCGTATTATTTAACCGCTAGCGTTACCGGTATTTGCTAAATGGATGTAACATTCAGATTTTGCGCCATTAACATACATCAAACCTGTTTCTAACGTTACACTTGTAAGTTTAAAACACGCTGACGGAAACCGGTGCTACAACTTTGAGAGTTACCTAACTTTCTGCTTTAATCAGAAGAGGTGAACTGTCAGAATGAACTCTCGTAAACCTGGTCCCTATCCAGTGGTGTAAAGTAGTGCTGTGAAGTAAATAAGTAGATTTACCCAAGTACTATACTTAAGTACAATTTGAGATACTTGTACTTTACTTTACAATTTCAATTTCTTACTTTTACTGCCCCACTACAATTCACAACAAAGTAATTAAAACTAGCTGCACTTTTACCAGCTTGATGCATCAATAATTATAATCAAAACATACAATTATTATGAAGTGGGACAATCTGCATAATGATTACTTTTACTTTTGGTACTTTAAGTATATATTGATGCTAATACTTCAACTTAAATAACCTTTTGATTGCAGGAAGTTTACTTGTAACAGAGTATTTTTACACTTTTTCTATTTCTACTTTTACTTAAGTACAAGATTCCTATGTACTTTTCCACCTCTGTCCATGTCTGATTTCATTGATCTTTCAACGCCCCTGGTGGAAAACTATTAAAGCTTCTTTCACTTGGATTTATTGGTGACTAACCAAAGTCTCACATGATTTTGACCACAGCATATCTTGTATCTGTCATACTGTATAGTGAGTGATTCTTCCCGAGGGGCCATGGCTAAAGAAATACAGGGGCACCAGCACAAAGATAGTTTTATAGTATTTAGGGCAGCCCACTTTCGAGTGGTCAATTAATCACATTTTATAAATGTAACAGCCACCCTTAGTGCACTGCATCTTGTTTTGAACTGAAAGAGTTACCTTGCATGACAGCTCAGTTCTTGCACATCATGCAGATGTTTACATCAGGTCTTACAATATCGTTACATCATAATGTTAGGAATTGGGTTTTAAAGTCGGAGATTTGACTTTCCTGCATCGAGACATACGTTTTTAAAGTCCCTTATGTACAGTAATGTGTGTGTTTGTCTAGATTGTGGCTTTCCCTGTTTGAATAGGGAAACTGGTTTTCCTCATCTAGAATAATCACTTTTTTAACAGACTGATTACAAAGTTAGGTGTGGTCCAAACTCTGTCTTGCAGCACCTGCTGTAAAGCACGAGAAGGACACCTGAAATCGTTGTACTTTGGTCAGTCTTTTAACCAACATATATTGTGTATCGCATTTAGCTAAAAAAAACTGGGATTAGATGTTTTAACCATATTGCATAGACACAGGATAAAGTTGAAAACAGGAGCTCTGTTGTTTTTCGGTTTTGTCTGCTAATGAACCCAGCTGGGAGTTCACTGAAAAGGTTAGTTGGCATGACATAATTGTGCAACAGTTAGGGCACACTGATACTGTGTTAATAATGCTTGAGGTCATTACTTATCTTTTGAATGACCAGACTTAAACTATTAATATTGCAACAATACTTGTTCTATCCTCATTGATAAATATTTAGGGTACTGTAAATTGTTTAATAGCAGCTGGGAATGCTTCCTTTGCTTAGTATTGCCACAGACTGTGATTGGTTTCAAAGAAATTCAAACAAGCCAGAATGTTTTTTTCCCCATTTCTAATGATAACGGGTGAAGCAAGACCTTTATGCAGTGCTGATAGTCGGTTCTGCAGAAACGTCTGACTATGAGACTACTTTTATTATAGAGAATGGTTCAGTAAAAAATGTTTCACAACAGGCAGACAATCACACACACTTGTATTCCCTTGCACTTTGCTAATTTGAGGAAATACCATTTGAATATTACATTTAGAAATGAGAGGTTTTGACTATGTTATGTTTCTATCTGATAATAGCTTCACAAGCACTGAAGTCACCGTGACTGGCACACAGGAACCTCTGTACCGTGAAGTAGGGCTGCACGATTTGGGGAAATCATCTAATTGCGATTTTTCTGACAGATATTGCGATTGCTATTCGATTTGCGATATTTGTTTTTACGCGACCCAACGGAAGTTTATTCTAAAATGCGGCCATATCTCCGGCTAGGAAGGTTGCATCAACATGTTCCCATCTCTAGCACCCCCGCAGCCCGAGCTACGAGTGAAAGAACTAAACTTACATGAAACTTCCGTTGGGTTGCTTTAAAGTCAAGCTTCAGTTTAAGATTCACCCTGTAATAGAAACATGTGATGGAGCATTACTAACCTGACTCAGATGGTTTGTTTCACCAGACCATCTAGGAAAGCTCCATTGGAAGCCATTTGGAAAGGGCAGGCACTTTCAAAAATACTTGCCAGGTGATTGGATAAATCTGTCTATCACCTTCTATCATGGGCCACTTCTGATTGGTTAACAATGGCTGGTACATGTGGAGCACAGCACTTCTGATTGGTGTGGATGACTGACACACAAGAACAAAATAAATGTTTTTTAAAAAAAGAATCGCAGGCTTTGCGATTTGATAATTGCATCATTTCAAATCGCGATTGTCAATGAGTCAGAAGTCCAATTGTGAGTAGTTAGGGCTCCTGTTGAGTGCATGTACTGTTTCATTAAAATGGTTTACTAGTTGGGGACAAGCCATTCAGATCTCATTGTTTTCACTCCTTGAAGCACATGGAAACTTGAGAGCTCAGGACACGTTGTTCTTCCGTGCTCACTCAGTGTGAAAAAAGCTGCCGTTGTTAAAGTACAATAAGACATTCCTAATTTTTCTGAATCAGTGGGTCTTTATGTTGTACTAGTTGGAGCCAATTGTCTATTAATGCTTGCAAAAAAGCCATCATTGTATGGCATGACATGTGTAATACTGCTCGCTCACATGTGTTTGCAATCATGTTGTTCTGTGCAGCATTTTAACCCAATTATTGCCAGACTCTAGTTTTGTTCAGTTGGAATGTTTTAGGCTACAGAACTGACACTCATTATAAAATGCAGATTCAATAAAAGGTCCATTTAAAAAAGGTCTTCAAGCTGCTTATTTATTTAAAGAAATGATGGTTAATGATACACATGATTTTTCTGCAATAAGTCATTTTATAACTGTTTGGTACTATTTACTTTTTGTATTGACTATACTTGTTCTAACACCGTTTATTCTTTGCCTATATGCAGCGTGTCAACATGGCAGACATGGACGCTGATACTGCTGCTCACACCGAGCCTTCGGTGGAGGAAGAGGAGCCTTTTTTCAGCAACCTGGACCTCCTCCTCTTCTCCCTGATTGTTGGTCTTGTTGTTTATTGGTACATGTCCCGCAAAAAGCCTGAGCCCATCCCCGAATTCAAGAAGCTTGACACACCGTGAGTACCCATCACAATATATCAGATTAATTTATTTTCTTAAAGAGTTTGAGTTTCTTTATTTGTATTTGGATCTGACTACATCTTTAAGATAAATAAATAAGGATGCTTCAGAGTAAAGAAACAAATTGAAACTCTATATTCGTTAAAAAAAATGATCTCAAGTAGTGTTGGGTATTGTTTAAATTAAATATTCTTTTTCGTATAGCTGTTCTGTGTAATGGTTCAGAATTGATCAAATCCTAGTTTTATTTCATAGAATATTATTTAAACAAAATATGTTGCCAGGTAGAGCCTGTTTAAATTAAGGTTGACTCACTTCCACTTTTTCATCTCCTTATTATGACCTTCTGAATCCTCTGATAGCAATTCTACACTGTCTTTTTCCATCTTTTAAGAAACTATGATGTTAATAATTTGCATCAATGCGCTTTGCTTAACCTAGAACTCTAATATACATGATGCTCAAACTGTGAAACAGATACTGTATTTCTCAGAGGAAAAAATAAACACCCTCACTCACTTAGTCATTTGGTTCAACCAAGTGTATGAAAGTGTATGGCTTACAGCTTGTAAATGTGCGACTAGCTGCAGCTTGGTTTTCTCTGTTATTGTCCTGATTTGTCACCGGCTTCTTAACTGATCTGACCTCCCTCTTACTCTCTACCTGGAAGCTGTTATCCCCTACCCATATCACTAGCCTAGGGCTCTCAAAATATTTAAATGTCATACAAGTAATAGCTGAACAATGTAATTTTTGTCTCCTGTATATTTAATGCGGAACAGTGGTGTCGTTATGCTTTGTAACTTGACCTAAATCCATGTTATTAATTTCAAGTGCTACTCGTCAAAGTAATGCAATCATTGGCGAAGGAGTGTTCATCTTTAAGTTGTTTGCCGAAATAATGTTCCACCTCTAGCTCTGCTTCACAAGTTTATACATCGCTTAACTAAAACTGTTGTGGCGGCTGACCTATGGTTACCGAAAAGTGGTTCAAGACAGATAATAAATGTAGAACGAGGCTTGATTTTAATATCAAAAGTAAATATATCAGCTTCCAGATAATGTTGGAAGACAGGGGAGACTTTATATTTAAATGTATTTATTTGTAGATGAGGATGACAGAAGAGTTTCTGCAGTCATGAAGTCAAAAGGTAGTTCCTTTCACCCTTTTTAGAGCCAAGAAAGAAAGAGTCTTGACTTTGTAAAGAGATACCCGGCGCCCTTTGGTGGTGAAGAAGTAGCAAGCCAATTGGCAGGAGCAGAGTTGCGGATTGACAATGACCTGGATATAGGATGGGCCTAAGTCATTAACAACAAGCACAGTATATTGGATTAGAGTAGCCTCCAGGAGCCAGTGCAAAGAAACAGGGTAACTATGTGGGAGAACTTGGGATAGTTGTAGACCAGCTGGCTGCTGCAGTCTGGATGAGCTGCACATGTCCGACAACTTATGTAGGCACTGTAGCAAGTTAGAGTAGTCTCATCACAAATTGATAATGAGCCGGGACCACTGCACTGCTTCCTGGGTAAGAAATTAATCCTTGTGATGTTGTGGAGATTCAATGTGCAAAAGTCGCTTGACACTGAGATGTTGACGGCAAAAGATGTGAGAGTTTTCAACCAGACAAGAAATCCTTCTTTCCCCTTGTTTTTGGACTGGGAAAAAGACCGGATAAGTTGATTGTTTTGTATAGATATATAGAAGTGAAAGAAAAAGCCATGTGAGTGAACAACTGCAACATCTCACTTAGTGTTGAGAGAAAAGAGAAGGGGACTCAGAACCAAACCCTGAGGAACCCCATCGTGAGAATACAAGGTTTTGACAGGTGCGCCTTTCTCTGACCATGTTTGAGGACTTTCTGCCGGTATTCTGCCTCATTGTTCTGTATAAAAGTGTGTCATGTGTTTTTTCTTCTGACATGAGTATTCTAAAGCCCGAAATTGACACCAGATGGACACACGATTATGGATTTGTGAATTTCGCACGAAGATGGCCCCGAACTTGGTCAACAGCCAAGCCACAGCCGAAGCAAGTACGATGCCTACAGAAGGCCACACGATGGCACCAGAACCACTCACGAAAATATGTTTGTAGACTTTACTGATGATTTAGAATGTATCCAGACTCAACGTAAGAGCTTGTGCCTCTTCGGGGGGCACTTTACTTTCTCCATCTTTATATGTAGATTAGAAGATGACTTATCTCCGTCATGTTGTTTCCATAGCAACAACAACTTCCTGTCAACAGCGTAAACTCACCTTCAAAATAAAATCATTTAAATAAAACGGGAAGTTAACCTAAATTACATTTAAGACATACAACTGCAACGAAAGTAACAAAAACAATGTAATATCCTTTTCGGTTTCATAGAACACAAATTGGGTTATTTACATAATATGTTTACATGATTTTGTTGTGAAATGTCCTCGTACTATAATACGATGGCTACACGACGGCATTGCGAGGGCTTTACGTAGTCGTGTTGCCTTCCTAAGACAATCGGGCAATTTCTTGTTTCCTTCGTATTGTCTTCGTGAGGCGAAAAATGCCCGATGGCACCGATGATCAGACGAATTTGAACATTTCCCATATCGTGTGTCCATCTGGTGCCAATTTCGGGACAGTGTGACGCGGGCTTTAGTGAGAAGGCGTATTTACCTCAACCAATCTGATGGAAGCAAATGTGATTACATTTCTTTCTTTTTTTCTTTTCAACACTTGTAACATTGATTTTAAATTTGTTCCAAGAGAGTGAAATATAACAATTATGCAAGATGATTGCAAACTGCTTGAATATTGCGACAGGCCTTTTGAGTCATTTCTTATCAGTGGAGTGATGGAGGCTTGGCAACATTTCAGAGGACTCCCCTTCCACTGGCCACTCTTTAAGTTCCTCCCCACCCACAACACAATTTCTTTGTTAACCATAGTGAAGCCAGCCGCAGCAGCTGCCTCACTTGCTATGTAGCTGAGATGGCGCGTGGTTATGTGAATGGAGACAGTGTTGGAGGTTGAGCGGGGGAGATCCTGACCATTTGTATGATAGCAGGAGATTGGCTTGAAAGTGGGAAAGACCCCTGTAGCGCACGTTTTGCTTTGGAAAGAGTGTGCATCCGTGGAGGGTTAGAATACAGGAAGGGAACATAAGAGCAGTTCTCCCCTCCCCTTAAAGGGAGCAGTGATTACCTAACTGTTATGAAGGGGGCGTAGTCTTCCATGTCTTCCTGTGCTTTTGTTTTTGGCCCTGAAACCATTTTGAAAGTTCCCTGGAGAGCAAAATGGGAAGGCAAGCCAAGCTGCTTTTGTGAGTCCTCTCCAAAGGTGGAAAGTTGAGGCAAAAGACAAGCAACCCTTTCTTTACCCTCGGTTACTTTTTTTCATTCTTTCCCCACTCCCCTGTTTTTCTTTTTAGTGTGTGTGGGCTGAGCTGCTCTGCCATTGGAGAAAGGCCATGTCACAAATGGAATCCTTTTATGATAAATGAGGTTACTATAGCAATGACATTCCCCTCTCTCCTCCAGTGAGATGGGGGCGGGGGATACTTAAAAAACTACCATTCACAGCTCTTTCCCACCTCCTTCAGTGATCCACTGAGGAGTTGCTTCGATAACTAGCTCAAGCTCAGAATGGATCTTGGAGACCTCTTCGTTCCCAACACCTTTCAGACCACAGAGGAAAAGGGGCGGGGATGAGAAGGAAGGCATTTTCAGCCTGAGAATGCTTCAGTGTGTGTTTGTGTGAGTCAAAAGTGTGGGTCCGCAGCTCTGCTTCATTTTATGGGAAAGTCCGTTTCCCACCATTGTGTCCTCAGCGGTTGCCAGACACTGACAGGGCTGGTAGGCTGTTTGTGTGTGTTAGTGGAGAACAGACGCTGCTGGTTTCAGAGAGCAGCACAGGAAGAGGCAGAGTTCAGATCGTGTTGGAGGTGAAGGAAGGCAGCTCTTCCAGAACTGTTCGACTGCCTTTCTGACCTGGTTTTATTTTTCCATTCTGTGGTTGTGGAGTGTTGACGTCCTGCTTTTGATTTTGAGCGTGGCGGTTCCCGGCGTGGTCTAGCCAGTGCTGCTATTGGCAGTGGCTGCATGCCATGGGCTGTGTCTTCTCTCTGCCAGAGGACAGGAGAGATGCTGCTGAGAGGTCAGTAAAGTGTTTGATTTATTGCACCTTCTAAGGCACATTTGGAGTTGCTTTGTTTTTACAATACTTGCTTGAATTTCTCCTAATGATTTGACATTAGCTACCGTTTAGTTTCACTGTTTAGTTTGACAGGACAGTTCACACGTGGGCTGGTATGCTTTTCATTGAAGACTTGTAAGCATCTTGTAATAGTTCCAATTTTGGCCATTTTCTAGAGTTTCAACAGTTACTTGATTCCTCAATTGGTTGAATCACAACCAAAAGAACTTTGAAGATTTCATGTAGATGGCACACATTATGTTTTCAGTTCTTTAAATATGGAGACTCCCTGGTTTATCTCTGTTTTGTTACCAATAAACTGAATATGTGGTTTTAAAACAGAAAAAAACAAGGCATGTAGTGACATCAACTTCGACATCTATGAAACTGAGTTGGACATTTTTCACTATTTTCGGTTATTTAATAGATTCATCTAAAATATTATCAGCAGATGATGAAAATAACCGTTAAGCTTTACATGTTTCCAAATGTTGCTCTACACAGAGTGTAACTCCCTTGTTCCAGTAGTATGTAAGAGCTGGTGAAATGTTTGACTGCAAATACAATTTGATTAATTTAATTTGATTATGACCCCTCCCCCCCTTTTCACAAAACTATTAAGTATGTTACCATCTTAGCGACCATTGTGTTGCACATTTAAAAAATGTTTTCTTTTGGTTTTTAGCTATAGGTCAGATTACAAAATGAAAACCATGTCATTACAGCCTTACCTCCAAGTTTTAACGTGTTGCAGATTAAGACTGAAATGATTCAGTGTGCCTGTTTAAAAGGTTTCATTTCTGATTAAATAGAAAGGTAGTTCTCTGACATTATAAACAGATGATAAGCTCTGAACTATTTGGACTAAATTGTAAATTGTTCAAACAATGACTGAACGCCAGCATGCATGAGGTTGTTTTAATGTGGGACTCGAGGCATTGCAGGAAGGAAAAGGACACATGTATGTTATCAGTCAAACCGGCAGTTTAAGCAAATGATTTGTTCTTGATTTGAAACCATAATTTTGTTTGTTGACTTCAAAACATTTTACTCAATTTCAGGCTCAGCTAGTAGTTGCACAAATTTAATGATCTGTTGTCAACAATGATTTGTTTCATTTTGGCTTTTTAAGACTTTGTAGTCTCCCAAGAAACAAAACAACTAATGCTATCCAGCTTTTTTATTGAAAGGGGTGGGGAAGATACAAACACAATTTCTGAACAAGAACTGTTTCATGTTTTTATTGATCCATCATCACGAAATGACTTTGAGCTAATTAAATGAATAGCAATTGTATTTACAGTTATACAGAATAAATCAGCAGGATACATTTGTTTTATGTTTAATTTACAATCTGCTTAGGATACTTTTGTGGTTGTTGCCACAGCATACAGAACTAAAGATTCTGTAATCTCGTCTCTTGATTTTTTAATGATGCACAAAAAATCCTCCCCCGCTGAGTGCCTGTGAGGCTGGAGACGGTCAAAGGCTTGTTTCAAATTTGATCAGGAATTTACACTTTGCTTCAGGGTTCAATCAGTTTTAACCACAGGGGCCCATTTTTATGGCATGTCGGGCATCTGCCCAACATGCCTGCCCTCTGCACACTGCCGTTCAGTGGATAGGTTCTGTAAATTGTTTGACTTAATGTGTGTTAAAGGTCAAATGTAGCAAATGAAACCGCTTCTATGGCTATCCTACTGCTTTGTTGCTTTTGGAGATGGTAAATCTGAAAACAAATTCATCTGGCATACTTGTAGGTATGTGTAGCTGCTTTATTCTTTTTAAAGTGCGGGCAGAATTGCAGCTGTCTACTTAAACCTTTGATGCTGAATGAAGCGGCGTTGCTCTTTTATTTGGCTTGATAATAGATGTTGCTTCCTCTCTCCCTCTCTTATTTGCACCGTGTTTGCAGATGTTGTTTTGATCTGTTCTCGTCCATTAATTACCTGAATGAATCTTATTCAAGATTTTGAATTACCATGAGGTGTTACCTGTAGTTAATATACGTCAACCACTTTGTAAGCTGTATGCTTAGTACGTGATATTCATACATTTAGTGTGACTAATGCTCGTATGGCTGCTGAGTCACTGCTCTGTTATTCCATGTTATTGTAAGAATAACATGAATAATGACCAGACAAATTACCCACATTGCCTAAGAGCTGGCGCTAAGAATTTACTGCCAATTATTTAAATCGTTACTTGCCTAACTTGCCAGTATGGCCCAATAATTACATATGTCAATGTGGGAAAGGAATGAACGAATGAATGCGTAATCATCGATGGAGTACCCTTTGTATTATCCTTACTTTCCTCTCTGAACCTAAAGTGCTCCAATGTTTACTATTTGTTTTAAAAGTACACTCCGTGAAGAAAAAGAAGAGCACAACCACAACACAGAACCTGCTGTCCCTCAAATGTATGGTCATTGATTAACTGACTGACACTAGGTAACAGTTAAATTTAGATTTTAAATGACTTGTATTGCTGTTTGTTTACACGAATGATGTTAGTAAACAAAGACGGGCCTATATTTACACTTGTGATCTTGTGAGATAATTCAAAAGTCACATTCTTCCGTGTTTTCTAAATTCAGATTCAATTGATTCATATTATAGATGTTGAGGAAAGACTGCTTTTTGGTAAACACGGTCATTGGTTAATACTTTCTTTTTTATCGCAGTATCATGGTTAAAAACAGGTTGTGTCTTTGTGTTTAGTTATATAACATTATGACAATTCAAACTTATTTCTTCCCAGAGCACCCGCCGCAAGAGACACAAGTTTCATCGAGAAAATGAAGAAAACCGTGAGTGATTTTCCTGAATGTTTCCCATCATTTCTGCTTTAAAAGAAGCCCTTAGGACCTAGAGATGTTCAATGTTCGATGGATTGATGGTCTGAATAGTATGATGAGGATAATGGCTTTTCATTTAAAAACACTGCTTTAACTTCCCTCTGTTTTCAAGCCAGCCTTGAGAAAATACTTTGGTTTTGAATCATGTGGTTTGCTGCAAGTAGTTTAAATACCATAATGGTGGCAGAAAATAATTTTGGTTCAGAGTGCCATTTAATTTAGTCTCTGTTTCTCTTTTGTTATGAATCATCATGGCAACGCTGTCGGCAGGGATCAAATATGTCAGATTTCAACAATGCATGCAGATGGAGCTGTCTGTGTTCACATAAGCTTCATGTTAGAGAAGTTATTCTTGTTTAGTTTGGACTGAAAATGAAGTTATGTGAAGTTATTTATTCATATGTTGCATTTTTATCTTCCTCTCACATATAGAAGTACTCACATAGCAAAGCAGCACTTCAGGATTTGTGGGAAAATGCTTTTTAGAATATATTTTAGGTAAATCCCAAAATGTATACAGCTAAGATGACAGACAGGAAAGATGTGTCAGCTTTATACAATAGTTGTGGGTGAAAGCTCGTGTATGCCCCGAGTTTATGCTTTTCTGTCAATGTGTAACCAGGGAAAGAACATCATCGTGTTCTACGGCTCCCAGACGGGCACGGGAGAGGAATTTGCAAACAGACTGTCGAAAGACGCTCAGCGCTACGGCATGAAAGGAATGGCTGCCGATCCAGAGGAGTATGAAATGGTAATCAGAGAAACAACATACAAACCTAAAATCACCCAAAATGTTACTTGGTCATTAAATCTGGAAGATCATTCTGTTTAATTGTCACTGCAATTCTGAAGAAGTCCGTAAAAGCCTAATTGGTTATAAACTCATTCTCTGGATTGTCCTGATTGTATTCATTTCGATGATGATATGTTACACATCCAGTTGCAGATAGATCTTAACAGAGCCACATAACGTTTTATAGTATGTGCCAGATGATATGGTCTCTTCTAACTATAAATGAACTCTGCTGAAATATATCATGTCCAGGCAAGTGAGTCCAAACAGACTCAAGCACGCGCTCAGATCATAACACGTAAACTATTTTAAATAACTTGCAAGTTTACTGACAGTAAAACTTTTGACATAGCCTTTCAGAAATGTAATGCAATAAGAACTAAAGTTAAAATGAAGACCACAGGAACATGAATACAATAACCACATGAGGCATAATTTATGGTCAGCATAAAAACAAAACACAGACCATGTGGAGTCCTGAAAGGAACAGACATAATAACAGAACACATCACACACATTTCAAATCCAAACAAAGTTCCCTAAAAGGCTGAGCCCTTCAGTGCTCTCTGTTTCTGACTGTGATGTCTCTTATTCCAGGCGGAGCTGGCCCGTCTCTCTCAGATTGAAAACTCCCTCGCCATATTTTGCATGGCCACCTACGGCGAAGGAGACCCAACAGATAACGCCCAGGACTTCTACGACTGGCTGCAGGAAATTGATGATGAAGACCTCTCCGGACTAAACTACACAGTGAGTCGTTAATGATTACGTCTTGTATATATTAAGCTTACAAGAACTGAGTGCTGGCTTAATTGTCATGAAAGGTCTAAACCATCTGCGACAGGCTTCATAAATCTACGTTATTGTTATCTTATCGCCATCTTGAATGTAACTGAGACTTTTTTTGTTTGGAAAGGGAGCAATAACCATACAAACTGTGTGCCATATTCTCTGTTTTGCATGTGAGTTTTTTGGAACTACATGGACATTTTGGTTAATACAATATTGGGAAACGATGAAAAAGTCCTAGAGCCGAATGTGCCTACCTCAAAACAAACATCCAAATAAAAAATATGAATGAACAGAAATGAAAGAGCAAGAGAAACAATTCATTCTCACATCACATTTGAGGGACTGTTACACATTAATAGTTTAACAAAATAGTTGCTGATTAATGGTTTTATTGATCTACTAGCTGATTGTTGCAGCTTTGTAATCATGTGAGCTAAATGTATGTGATGTACCCAAACAACACCATTTTCAATGTGTATATTAAATGTATCATTTCTGTTTTGCTCTTTACAAAATGTGTTAAAATAATTTCCCTAATGGCATTTTTGGAGACAAAGTTACTTGAAGTTTGAACGACTCGCTCACTGATGTGCATCAGTCCGAAGAGGAACAAAATGAATATACATTTTTTCGCTATTGCTGCTTCACAAACCCAATTCTTTTTTTTTCACGCTATGTCATTTTGCCTTGTGGTCTGATGTACCGCACACAGGCTTCCCTAGCATGAGCTGCGTCCGTCTTTGTGTGCACCATGAAAGAAAGGCCTTTGTGTTGTCTAGTCAGTGTGTGCGTTTGTGTCATTGTGTCAATGTTGGGGTGCAGAGCCTCTGACCCCATTTGAGTGAAAACTTGACTGAGGGAAATGTAGCTAAATTATTGGGCACAGTCGCGTCCTTCCTACTGTTTTTCATCTATTGTCTGGTAGCGCCGTCACAATGTCACACTTTCCCTCCACGGTTAAACATTTGTACAGGTATTATGATATTATGGAGATATCTAGTAAAAAGCATTCTAAGTAAAATTCATGTTTAGTGGGAATGTAGAGAATGCTGGATTTATACTTAACATATGAATATTAAAACATTTTTCTGATATCACTGTTATCATTAATAATACTTATGTTTGTAGAATTGTTTATACTAATCGAGATGCATCAGTGTCTTCTATACATTTTACAGTATGGCATGTTATTTTTATTTTGTATTCTAGTAGAATAAATGGCCCTACAATTAAACTGGATGTCACACTTAAACCAAACGGCAGTCAAACATCTACATTGGTTAATTGTTTAACTATGACATTGTTTAAATTGTAAAGAACAACTTAAATGTACCCGGTTTCTGTCACGATTAATCGAAAGCCACTTAGTAATGATCTCTCTCTCTGTGCCTTGTTAAATCTTCAGGTATTTGCTTTGGGCAACAAGACATATGAACACTACAACGCAATGGGAAAATACGTTGACAAAAGGCTGGAAGAACTCGGGGCAAAGCGGATCTTTGACCTCGGTTTAGGGGACGATGATGGCAAGTAAGTGACCCGTTAGTCCTCTGAGCCAAAAAGGAAATGATGACTAGACATTTCTCTCAGCATTGAGGTGCTGAGTCAGCACAAAAAGCTTGTGTGGACCACTATCAGTTTTCCTGTACAGTACATGATACGCAGTTTCCACCTTATTTTGCAAAGTTTAAAATCAACTTAACAAATGTATTCTCTGAAGAATTTACTTCTTTCATATTCATAACTGTGTGAAGCCACCCAGAGGCCAAACTGTCAATTAAAAAAAAAAAAAATAGATTTAATTATTTAATAGATTTTAATTGACCCTAAAAATTAGAACGTTTACTTTTGCTAATTCATGCAAATGTATATGGTTATTATTGTAATCCAACTTGTTGAACAAGGTTGGATTGAAATGTGTTTCTCTGCTGAGTGACCCTGTTTTTTTATCTTTCAGTCTGGAAGAGGACTTTGTCTCCTGGAGAGAGCAGTTCTGGCCGTCTGTCTGCGAACACTTTGGAGTCGAAGCTTCAGGAGACGACTCAAGGTTGTTTCACAGACAATTTCACCCTTTTTATTGTTTATTATTAACATTGTTTGTCCCCATCATTTTATTTTTGCCTCATCTCCACCTAAACCCTTAATTTCCCATACTCACTCTTTACCCACTCTTCAGCATCTGAAAGCTGCTAACATTAAACAAATAAAGACATGGGAAAGCTTGCATTCACATTGTTCTTAGGTTTGTGATAATTCATATACAGTATTGTCTCTTCAGATGAAAGGTAGTTTCCACATCCTTTTAACTCCATTAAGACTGAAATATTTCAGGTTGGCTGCGATTCCTTATCAAGAACTTTCACACAAATCTAATCTCAGATTAATGACACAAGGCGATCACCACAGTGATAACCAAATGTAACCTTTTGCACATAGGCTGAATTTAAAACAATACTCCACCCAAAGTCTTGTTTGTTCATTACCTTGTTTAAGTTCATATCTTGAATAAGACTTGTTATGTAATGCTAAAACAGGTTATATCTTATTTATGATAATTATAATTCAATTATTGGATCTATGCTTCATCCCAAAAGAAAAGTGTCATTTTATATTATTTTTAATATAGTTTTCACTATGAATTAAACTCTGCTTTTACTATATGTGTGTATGCAGCATCTGAGGAGGCTAACTTCTGATTCCCCCCCACAGCATACGGCAGTACGAGCTGAAGGAGCACACGGACCTCAACATGAACAAAGTCTACTCGGGAGAGATGGGCCGCCTTAAGAGCTTCGAGGTCCAAAAGCCGTGAGTACTTCAGCCGAGACTCTACTCACTATCTGGAGTCCTTCATGAATGTACTAATACCATTACTCACATTTCACCCAGTTACATTACCTATTGCAAAGTTTAATAAAGGTCACTTTAAAAAAAAATGACGCTTTTCTGCCCCCTAGTGGGACATTTGAAAACCCATTTTCACTGCCTTTAAAGGTCCCATGTCATGGCCATCTCTACTGATCATAACTCCATTTTTGAGGTCTACTAAAATGCATTTATATTGTGCAATTTTCCAAACTCCTGCCCCCCCTCCCTGTGAGCCCAGTGGCCCAGACAGCCAGACACCGCGAAACTCAGCCTGGGCACACACACACACCCACAGCCTGGCTGGGAGTTTGTGTGTGTGCTCAGGCTGAGTTCCGCGGTGTCTCGCTGTCTCGCTGACCCCACACCAGTGAGCCGGCTCACAGTGTCCCGCTCCTCGCAGCAGCGAGCCTCGCAACGGCTCTGTTACGTTACGTCACTATGCCCGAAATACGTCACTATACCCAAGAAGTAAACAATGGAAAATGAGAAATCTCCAAAGAGGCGTTCTGGGGCAGCATAGACAGGTTGTACTCGCTACAGGGTGTACTTTGAGGGTTTGTGACTCTGCAGACCGCTTACATGCATACAAGCTACATAACACACAAGGGGACGGGTAATAACCGGAAAAGAATGACATGGGACCTTTAAACAATATTTAATTCATAGAGTAATGGATGTTTTTAGTATTTTATTAATAGATTCATCTCTTTTGTGATATTTTAAGTCTTGCTGTTTTATTTACAGGCCCTATGACTCGAAAAACCCTTTCCTGGCCCCAGTTACTGTCAACCGCAAACTCAACAAAGCCGGAGATAGACATCTTATGCATGTGGAACTGGACATAACGGGATCTAAGATCAGGTGAGACTGGTTAGATGTATCTATAATTAAATGCTTGAAAATGCTTTTTCATATCCCTTTGATGATGAGATGATTACTTTTGTGTTTTGAGGCTTTATGATTACAGGTCAAAGTCTAATTGTATCACCGTATGTGCTTTCAGATACGACTCTGGAGACCACGTTGCTGTTTTCCCCACAAATGACTCTGCAATGGTGAACAAGTTAGGACAAATCCTTGGAGTGGACCTTGATGTGGTTATCTCTCTCAACAACCTTGATGGTATGGCATTGAAAGCCCGAAGCACGTAGACTTTACTAGCTCGTCCCTGAAACACACTTAATGCTGATGAATTTTATATTGTTATATTACTGCTAGTGAATGTAATTGCTGTAATATAAGGTGCTGCCTTTTGTTACCAATTATAAGATTCTAGCCCTCATGAAGGTCATCAGATCTGCTTTGTGTGGCATAAGTGAAGAAGCAGCTCCTGTTCAGTTTGAAACAACATTATTGAATAATGAAAAGTTATTACACAATATAAGAAAGCATTCAAGCAATGTTTGAAGTTCCTCAGTCTGCAAGGATATATTAGTTCTGACTCGTATTTCATAACATCGCAAATCTTTTGTTTGACCAAATCTACTCCTGCCCGGACAATTTCCAATAGTAGTCAATAGTAGGGTCATGCAGTAATTATAATAATGAGTTAGGGCACTATCACCTGTCATAACAGCTCTGTAATCTGTCATGGCAACATAAAAAAAAATGTCATTTACAAAACATAGAGATGAGTTTATGTGACTCGAACCCTGAGGTTAACTTTGTGAACATATGTGTATTTTTTGACCTCCCATGAAATACGAGACTATTTAAAGCCTGCTTTTAATAAACATTTATTGCAATAAATAACTAGGTAAACTGAATGTAATGGTAATTAAATACATTACAAGGTCTATTAAAGTAGAAAGCATTCTCATCACAGATAGAGCAGTAAGTTGTTGGTGTTATGTTCAAATTCAAGTGTTGGCTATAAAAAACATCTTGATACAATTCTAGATACCAAAAAATGCATCTCTTTATTTATTTTTCCAGAGGAGTCCAACAAGAAGCACCCCTTCCCCTGCCCCACCACCTACCGCACCGCCCTCACTCACTACCTGGACATCTCGCAGCCCCCCCGCACCAACGTCCTCTACGAGCTGGCCCAGTACGCCTCGGACCCCAAAGACCAGGAGAATATGCGCAGGATGTCCTCCTCTTCGCCTGAGGGCAAGGTCAGTGCCAGGTGGTGAAGAGGTGTTGGTGTCAGTATGTGGTTCATGTCAACATAGTTCCTTCTTCTTCTTCTTATTATTTTTTTAACCGCTGTACCTAGCCCCTTTATCGAGTGTGGAGTCTTTTTTTTGCGGCTGCTCCGAGCACTTTGATTTAAGAGTATTTTCAAGTTTTAAGAAAAGGCCGGTGATGTAACTGGAAATTAAAGGAGAAGCTTGTTTTTGGAAAAGCAAGACGTAGCTGCTGGTGAGTGTGTATCCGGTTGGTCAAACTAATATATAGCAGCACAAATGGATAATAAGATCCAAGGGGGTGAAGTACGTCTGTCAACAGCATTGATATGTGGTTGACATATTTCAATATAAACAATAAAAAACATGGGAAATTGTTTAATATTTTTTTTATTAAATACTGGGAGGAGACTCCTCACACCGCCTTGCCATAAAAAGGCTCTATG